AATTACCACGTTTACAATAAAATAATGCTTGTTTATTATTTCTGTGGTAATACACATGTAATGTATATCTTCGCAAAGAAAACTTTACGTTGCAATATTTGCACGTATACTATTCAATATACTTACTTATTTAAATATTAAAATAGTGAACACCAAACCGCTAACTGGAAACTGGAAATTGGACCACGCACAAACAAAATCGAACATGGAGGAATATGGGGGTACGCGTGGGTTACGTCACATGCATTGTGATCAACAGGAGATGATCTTATTGGCCTGAATCACAGACTTAGTGTGATTTTACATATTTTATGTAATATAGTCCAAAACAAATGGAATAATTTACATGGTTTACGTAGAAATCCATATAGCTTTGTTATTTTAAAACAAATTAATTGTATATTTGTGATTAGTATGTATTGTTCCACTTACGTTGTGTATGAAAACCGAATCAATTGTAAAATTTCATGAATATTACTGTGGAAATTGGAAGTACAGTAAAATTATTGCAATTTTACCTTAAAATTGATGTATTTACTTATGTAATTTTACAGTGATTTTTTAGAGTGCGAGCTGATAAGCGAGTCCTAACTGATAATCGTGCGAAAAATGAGCGAATATTTTCCGAACATTGTTTCGAGTATCGAGTAAGAAACCGGCGAATGAATTGTAACTGAAGTTCTACCAGCGAATTGCGAGGATAACCGCTCGAAGATCGACTGTTTAGATATCCAATAAATCCCTGTAGGTCCCATTACAAGTCCGCTTTCCACAATGGAGCCGCGTCATTTGTCAAGCGGCGTGCGATGAGCAACGGCTGTCTATCAACAAGACGGGGAATCCCGAAAACTTCGCTGTTGGAGGCGTCCATTTTGCTAACAAGTGCAAGCGAGGGGTAAACATTCCTTTATAAAAAGAACACGAAATGTCGTTTGTCTGTATCAAGGAAGTGGGTAAAGCGATGGCTTACGGGGGATGAGAAATTTTATGTAATTTCTCATCCGAGTGAAAGAGTTTCGCTTTGTTTTCTGTTGGAAATGATGTGGGGATTTCGAGGGATTGTTATTCAGACGTTCGTGGAATGGGATTTGAAAAGTCTATGCGATTGCTGGTTTAAAATCATTTCAGCGTATTAACAAAGGTGCTTTAAGTAATTAAAAGGAAAATATATTTCGTTTTTGTTATATCTTTCGAATCAACCACCTACGTACTATGTAAATATATACACGACCTCATCTTTAATCGAAAATTTCAATGGAAAAAATCTCATTCAAAAGGTCGCCATCAAAGCCATATTTTGCTCGAGTTGTTTTAATTTTTGGCGTCTTGAAGTAAAAAAGATCACGGCCTCTGTACTTTGAATGAATAATTCATGTTTTTGTCTGGAATATTTTAAGATTATCGCCTTCGAAGGTAGCAAAGTTTTGCTGAATCGCCCCGAAAAAAATTATTTACATAAAATCAGATATGAGCCCATTAAAAAACTAAGAGAATTATGCGCCTTCTGGCGACAAAAGAACACAATTAAACTTGCGAGAATTTATTAGTCTAGTACAATAAATGAAGCTATTTAATGTTATGAAAAATTAGTCGATTAGAAGTAACAAAATGTGGCTATTTATAAATCAAATCGGTGAAATCAAATATCCATTTACCCTTATAACACATTTCCTGCAGGAAGTGTAGGCTTATAAATACATCTAAAGTCCGTGATCAGGATTTTTTCTCTGCTCATATATTTCATTTTGCCAATATCGTTGCCTAGACCATTGGACTTGGATATTTGTGAGGTCGTTCGAAAAAATGTAGGCAAGCTGATGGCGGGACTAATAAAATATCGCCATTTTGTTTGTTATTGTCTAAGAGACCCAAAGGAAAGACTTTTTCTTATGGAAAAAAATATAAAAAGTAAATTTACGATGTAATATTAACTCACGGTTTCGGTGTATACCAATACTTGCAGAGAAATATAATTCTTCAACCGTTAAACACTTAATGTTTTTTTGTTTGAAATCTAATTAGCATTCACAACTAATATTTTAACCATCAAAAACGCGAGAATTATTTCAAAAACAAGCCCGGCTTCGCTCTTAATTTCACCCTAATGGCTGGCATTCTTCGCTTTTTCCTTTCCGATTGTAAGGCACTTTTGTACTCCGCCTGGCTTAAGGTTTCAAACTTATTATGAAGTTGTTGAGATCAACTTGAATAATTACCATCCGCTTCCTGGATGTTGTTCATTTTAGGGGGAAACTGTTAGTCCCTACTTACATTATATTACTTTATCTAACAAATGCAGATGTAAGGAAAAATCGCGGCTGCTCGAAGTTGTTAAAACGTAACAGTAAATTAAAAAGTTGATGCGATTAATTTTCTTTGAATTACAATATATTAAGGATGCTAGTTAAAGTCCCAGCAACTTTAATTATTTTAAGTAAATTACACAAAAGGAAGTGAGAATATTAAACCTGCATCTTCCACCCACAGGCAGTCGAAATATCCGTTTTTATTTCGCTACAGAGGCTCCAAAGGTGGAGGGAACTCGTTTTCATAAAAAATGTTATCAGCTTTAGCAATTCTCGCAAGCCAAAGCTACATAACCCTCCTTCAAAGATAACAGCGGAGGAGTAAATGGAAAAAAATGTCACTCCTGTATTGCATGGAAGTATATCGTTACCCAAATTACCTCCGTGAGTGAGGATAATCAAACGTTTCACTAGCATATTTGTAGCTTTCATCATAAATTATTTCGAAACTAGCTGTGAATAGAAAGCAATCTATTCGGATAGAAAAAAACCCGACAAGAAAGAGGTTGATGGAAAATCCAAAACGCCTGTTTTGGCCTCATCTCTGGAGATATCTCGCCATTTGGCGGAAAACGAGCCGCCGAACGGCGGAATTTTCCTTATATATCTGCATTGCCCGGCCTTACTTTACAAATTGAACTCCACGCCCGGGGTTCCCCGATACACTTTTCGTGCGTTGTTGTCTCTCGAAATGCTAATTTCAGTATCCACTTCGTCTCGAAAAAATAGAACGCACGTTTAGGTTTTTGGAATAACTTAAATCGGGGGGTTCAGAATTGATTGTTTCTGCTCTAGTTTTTGTGAACAAAAAGCCACGAAAACCGGGCGAATTTTTGCTTTAGAATGAAGTAAAATTCCGTCTGTAAAAGTCGCATTGTAGAGCAGAAAGATGAAAATATGAATCGATTTAGCTCCAAAACCGCTACAATATATCCAACAATTGTATGTGTATAGTATACAATTATTATTTATAACATCGTGTGATCAATTTGTATCAATTAATAATGAAATACGAGCAGCAGAAGTAGACATATTTCGCGCGAATTTCGGTCTGTCAACGAATAAATCAAAAAGGAGTCAAATAGAACGATGATTAGCGCCGCAAATCACCGCGAAAAACCAATTTGGACACAATCAAACGATGCATCAAAGTATAACTTTTTGTTATTTCCGGCTAGGTACTCAGTGATTTCGCGCTGTAAATCCTAATAACAGGGCTGGAGCTGTCGCGTCTGAGTTCATCCGGAAAATATGGAGTTCATTTTTCACGAGAACACCTCAAACGCGTTGCGTTCGGTGTTAAATAAAATAAATAACGTTTTCCGGCTACCTGCGGACTGGTAATGGTGTTGTTAGAATTTATTGTTACATTTTTGCAGAACGGGAATTTATCAATTACGCTGTTTGTGAGATTCAAACGGGTATGAATAGTTTTGGGAAAAATATAGTCGAAATATCGAGGAAATTTGATAGAATTTTCCGTTTTTATTTTTCAACAAAAAGTGTATCGATAAACGGTATTACTCGGCAATTACCCTCGGAAATGTATTCGTACGAAAATTTCAAACGTTTCATTTAAAGCTACAAAAACAAATATTGAATTTATCTTCCTACAATTTAGCTTTTATAAGCCGTTTTCTGAAATATTATTGATATGTGTATGTAATTGGCTCTGTTTTACTGATAATTATAATATTAATTCATTCATATTCAGCATTATAAACCATCAGTTTATATCAGTTTTCCTCCGTTTTCCTCCAAATTTCGTTTTTAACACGGCCTTTTAAACTATCTAAATTTTTTCCAATCCATTAGGTATATTATTTAAATGCTCTTTTGTCGGTAATAAAGTGTTTCTGGCTATATTCACTTTCAATGTACCAAAATTAAAACATAACAAAGGCTGGGAGTTTAATCGTCGATGTGAAATATAAATTCAATTAATCAATTTGTTATAACCGAATTTATCGGCATGAAAATTTATTTGAAATTAACAAGCTAAAAATAGGATTTATATCGAATTAGCAGGCTAGGAAACTGAGTAAAAATTGATTACATAATTAAATTAATAATATGTATTACAAATAAAGTATATATACTTACTGATCGGTTGAATAATATTTCATTAAAATATAGGTAAATAGGCAATTTTGAAATTTATTCCTGGAAATTAAAACAAGCAGATTTTTATGAGTATTGTATTTATATATTACTTATATTCCAGAAAAATAATTTACAATATTTGGAAGTACATTAGTAGTTAACATAAATACTAATATATTTAGTTATAAGTAGGTACCTATTTAGTAATTACATAGCTAATGATATTAGGTAAATTTATTTACAGATATACAAATATGTTTTTCAAAACATTTACAAAGACGATTTTATTTATCACAAAAATATAGAGTACTTATTAGTACTTAGAATAGGTAATTTAATTTAGTTCCTTGCAGACGAAAAATACTGATAGTAAATTCATAATGTCCATCATTAAATTTTAAAAGAGACATAAATAATAAATTTTTGCTCTATAATATACGAATTAAAAGATTTTATTGTTACTCTGGATTGAAGTTTTTTGTACACCAGCATCAAGCAAATTTAAGTCAAAAAATAAATAGATAAATAAAAATTTGTCTGCTTGGAAAAACTTGGAACAAAAAGGATCAAAAATCCCATTCATATCTCTAGTCACGTTTTCTGTATAAACGGTATAAGTACAACAAACAAAGTTCCATACTTGACATAACAAAACTTTGTCGAACTAGAAGAATTGGCGTGTTGCATCGCTGCTGGTTTTTCTTCTAGAACAAGCGAAAATTGATAATTTAGAGATTTCAAAACGAACTTACAATTGCCCTTAAAACCAAAACAAAGATGAAACTCTCTTTTTTTAAACCTCAATTAATTGTATAGTGAAAAAACATGAAGATATCGTTGCCTTTGATTCCGAAGATAGTCCGAAATATATTCGATTAACCTTGGAGAACTTGAATTAGTTTTGCAATCATTATTTATAACTACTTGTATACATATACAAATTTACTGGCAGAAGGAATGTTTATTACATTCCATTCAGCATAACAGATGGTGCTGCAAAGGATTAAGATCTCATCTGTATTGTATTTCACAAGCATAAAGCACTTACTTTAACCCATTGAAAAATGCGGTTGGTTTGTGTAGAAATTTGATTTATTCGCTCGCTATTTCCCAATGAGCTTCAGATATAATGAGGGAGAAATTCGTGAAACAATCCGGGGTTAGATGGAATATGTTAAAACCTGCAATGCTGTTGGTAGAATACCGAATGCTTGATTTATGGTTTCCTGTTACTTAGTAGGCATTTCGAAGCAGATTTATTTTTAGAATCGTTATAAATTAGCTTTTATTATATACCTAGCCACTTGTTAATAAAACGATTGTAAAAAAAGATATTAAGGTTGTATAAAAGAAAAGACTTTTCGAATGAATAGATGAGAATACATGCAGTATACAGGTTGTAAACCTAGAAACAAAGGTTTAATAATTACAAAACCCCGCAAAAGGGAATATAAAGTTTAATACAGTAAGCGTGCAATAGACTAAAGATTCGTTCGAAAAACGCAAACTCACTATGACAATTTTATTACTCTAATTAGAAATTTGCTGCATTAACGAAGCGACTTTGAATGTTATAAAATCAATACAACTGCAACAAGAACTAACGAATGTAACGAAAAAACTAACGAATCATGTAAAATAATAATCATAGGTTGGTAGTTTTCTTTAATATTTATTGATTGTTGATTACTCTTATATCTTCACCAAAATTATTGATTTCTGTTAATGATAGAGAATCTGTAGAGGCTGATTTAACCAACAGATTTATACCAAATTTCCTCAGCCACTGAATTGAGCTATTAGAGAACACTTTCTCAATTATATATTTGATGATAGAGAATCTGTAGAGGCTGCTAATCGCCAATTTATTCATACAAAATTTCCTCAGACACTTATTTGAGCTATTAGAGAACACTTTCTCAATTATATATTTGATGATAGAGAATCTGTAGAGGCTGCTAATCGCCAATTTATTCATACAAAATTTCCATGATGAGAGAATCTGTAGAGGCTGATTTAACCAACAGATTTATACCAAATTTCCTCAGCCACTGAATTGAGCTATTAGAGAACACTTTCTCAATTATATATTTGATGATAGAGAATCTGTAGAGGCTGCTAATCGCCAATTTATTCATACAAAATTTCCATGATGAGAGAATCTGTAGAGGCTGATTTAACCAACAGATTTACACCAAATTTCCTCAGGCACTGAATTGAGGTATTAGAGAGCACTTTCTCAATTATATATCTCAAAGTAACTTTACCTGCTGTTGCATTGAGCACGTGCACGTTGATGGAAGCAGGAGCAGCGTTAGAGGGGCTGCAGGTGTAATTTCCATTGTGGCTTTTATCGGCCTCTTCCACTTGGATAACGCTGGAGGCTCGACCATCTTTGACGAAAACTCCCGGATCGTAGTTGATCATTCTCTGTTCGTGGTACCAAAAAACGTACTCCGGAGGTTCGGTGGAGTCTTTCAGGATGCAAAGTATCCGAAGTCTGGAACCCGAATGGACGTAAAGATCTGGAGCGCCTTGAATCTCCGCTATCGCTTCTGCAATTAACGAAATTGAAGAGTTTAATGAAGTTATTAAAGATGTTTGGAATGTCTTGTAACAAGGAGTAGAATTTGCTGGTGTGTTAGAGCTATAAATTTCCCGTTAATGTTCGAATTAGGTGTAGTTTCGCGTCGGGCAAATAACAAATATTTCCCCCGATGTCTTGCAGTGTTCAGAAACTAAAGCGATTAAAGCGAAATGGGCATCGGACGAAATCTAATATTTATCTTGAAAATGACATTTCGCCGTCTTTGACGGGGCGCATTCCTTCCGGGCCTGATGAGCGGGATTCAACGAAGTTTTCGCAATTCGCCCGAAAATTATTTACTTTGATACGGATAAACTTAATAAACGGAATCTTCGTCGGGAACTTTTCCCGCCCGAGGATTTATATTATTTATTAACGCATCTACTGAACATTTTCCTTCGTTAAACGCGACGTCAATTACTAAATAATTCGTCGCTCGTTAGAGTAATATTAACAAGATATTTATCAATCAATTTTATTCATTAACATCTATCTACTGTACGAAATAATAGCTTCATTTTTTCGTATTAATATTCAGCGTTAACAGTTCGACTGTAACATAAATAGTTACAATTTCATTTGAATATCTTCGTAATGATCAGTTACCGTTTTGAATGTGTTTGTGTGTTTCGGTGTCCTTTCTCTAATGTGTTCTCTACATGCAAATTAGAGACCGGCACGAAGTTCCAGTTCGAATGCTCTATCCTAATGAAGTCGCATTTACTCCTAAAACGTACATACTGTTAACTAATATCCTACTTAATAAGTTCGGCTTTGATATCCTGCATTTTCCGTTTAAACGTTCTGAAAAGCTAATTCAAATAGCGGATCTAAAACTTTTAATTAGAGGTATTGCATGTTTGTAATTTTATAAGCAGAGGTTATTGATTGATGAATCCGTTTTGTACGATTCTTAAAAGGATTCGAATGGTTTTGTTTTCCTGCTGTTTGTAAATCAAAGCTTGGATGTTAAGACGAAATGTGTTTGTTCTGTTCGAAGAGAAATCGCATTTTCCTGGCAAATGGTTTTGTTGGTAGAAACTGAAGCCGTTTATTTCAATTACACGAAAATAGGGCTCTGATTGAAAAGGTATCCAGTTAATTAACGAGGAATTAATCACTATAATCTGGTTATCCACAGGAAATAGTTCCTCAGGAAATCTGCCTTCGTGCATCTAGGCGTTTCAAGGTTTTCCCGTTATCGACTTTTCGTATTTCTTTTCGAAATTTCCTGATCCTTATCCCGCTTCGTTTGAACATCCCAATTCACCTGCGTCCTGGTCACAATTCCCAATTGCCCGGAGGCTCCGAGAAGAATAATTCATTTTCTCTGACCTACATATCGCGAGCAGTCTACTACTCACTACTAACGAATTTAGTAGAATTCACATCTAATTTTTTAATGATTATAATACTTACTCGTTACTCGAAGTTCGACGATAATACTCGAAGGTGGATGGGTTGATATCTGGCATTCGTACAGTCCAGCATCCGATGGGGTGACTTTTTTAATTAGCAACCCCCAGTTTTGTAAATGTCGAACGTGTTCTACCATATACCGATCGTCGGAATTGTAAGGGGCCAATCCCACTGTGAGCAAATGGTAATCTTGTTTTCGCAACCAAGATACCTGGAAGAAAAGTTCTGTTGTAGCGAAAATTTGGTTAATTTAAAGAGTAAATCTATTTCTTTGCAGGAATGCTTGTATAAGCATTAATTATTCCTTGTTTCATGGAGTTATTTATGAACAAAACATAACTGCTTTATGTGCTGCAAGTTCCTGCATACAAAACGTAATGGTGTTTGATTTATAAATTCATTATTTGATTAAAATTTCAATTCGTTCCTTGTAATTCAATTACTCGCTATGCATTCTTTAGGTAAACGAATGTAGATGCTTAAAACATCGAAGATTTAGTGGATAAAATCGGGCAAAATAATTAAATTTTTTATGCTTTGCTTAAAATTGAGAGCTTTTAGTGTAATATGTACATTTCATTTTTAACATTTTTTCGATTCAAAATAAAAATGTCTCGAGTATTCGTATCTCTAAACTGAGTACAGACAGAATTACATTAAAGAAGGATTTTTTGAAGAACAAAACTTGGGATGAAATGAAATTCGTTAAGCTTTTCGCTGGAAAAAAATCTAATTGTTTGAATACGAAATTGAAAAGCTTGTCACAAACATTTTTAAACCAGTCAATTAAACGAAAATTAGGTACCTCAATTTTCTACACAAACGCTTTTCATCATGCCACAACAATTTTATTATTTGAAATAAATTAATCAAAAGATGCATTTTTAAAATATAATTCAATGCATTTATTATAACCGCATCAAACGCTGCTTTTTGTTTATATTCAATATTGTTCACTATAGTACCTAGGCAATTATTCATATAAAATTATTTTTTTTTGTTATATTTTGTATGGAAATATTATTCAATAATCGTATTCAATGAACTTAAAATCACAGGATATTAGTCAAATATTTGGAAATATTACTCCTTTAAATCCTGATAGTTAGTCATCAATTTGCTATCCTGGAAAATATTTAATACTACATGTTCATTTATGCACAAATTAGCAACGATAAGTAGATACTATGATGCACAATATGATGCAGTAATTAGAATGAAATCAAATAAACTCCAACCGAAACATATTATATAGTAATGAATCGAAATGATATGCAGCCATATTAATGAAATATTTCGTCCGATAATTTCGATGCAGTTCGAATCATATGCCGATTCACCAATACATCGATGTATTAATTATACAGGATGTCTCATAAGTTGATACTTTTTTTCCAACTGCTTATACAGGGTGAGTCATGAGGAATCGTACATAGTTTAACAGTGTATAGAGGCACTTAAAGTGAATATTAAAGGACCATTAAAAGTTTCATATGCCTCTTCTCTAAGGGTGATTTATGAATTTTGACGAAATTTTGTTTTGTTTATATCTCTTTGGTGGTTATTTCGATTTGGTTCATTTTTTGTTAAAAGTAAAATTTTTAACGCCATCTTGCGGCCAAGCAAGCATTTAAAATAATATCTTATATAGCGTAAATTATAGACCAAAGAAAGCTCTTTTCAAAAATTTTATTTTTTTGAAAATCGGTTCAGCCGTTTAAAAGTTATTAACATTTATTTGTCAAAATATTCAAACCACCCCCACCACTTTATTTTAAAAGATGGAGTCAAAAATATATAACAAAAAATAATCGAAATTATCTTAACTATCAAAATAAAACACATTTTTGATACCTTTATATAGGAAAATTTTGGAAAAAATGACTTTTAAAAATCAATATGGCGGATACTCCCCTTAGCGGCCATTTTAGAGACCTAAAAATTATGTCCAGCATTTTCTTTTGGCCGATTTAGTCATAAGATTTTTTACCGCAAGTCTCTATGACAATTAGTTTGCGAGATATGGCCGAGAGCCATCCTTATTTGGCCACCCTGTACATTTTTTTACAATAAATTTACAACAAAAACTTACCACACCGCTGCCAATCTTCCTTACAACGCAGGGCAAAGTGGCTGTACCCCCGATTTGAGCCACGACGACGGTGCAATTTTCCGTGATGAAAACGGTGCTCGATTTTCCATTCGATGTCTTAACGCCATTAGTTTTCATTAGAGCCTCTTTTGTCTTGTGGCGTTCGTAGCTCCTCCGGTGGCGGAAGATGAAAGCTGATCGATCAGAATCACCTGACGAAAACCATATAAAGATTAATCCTAACTCTAACAAATTCGCGCGAAAAAGTCTCTATAACTTGCGAAATGCAGAAGCTACCTAACTCTTTAATTGTGTATTTGCGTTATTAAATTAAATAGCTTTATACAGAGTAGAATGCGAAGGGTAAACGAGGCGTTAATGCGAAATCGAGGAGGTGGGAAATTTTCCCGTGATACTGGAAACTCCGAGAACGTAAAATTCTTCCGGTAATATTTCCCAAAGTTATATCCTCGGTAATTCGAATTATGCCCGCGTAATTTCGTTGTAACAAACTAAGAAGTCCCGATTGTTAATTTAATGATGAACGGAATTTTACCGTTATTAAAATTTGATGAAAAATATCTACACACTTTTTTTGTGTAAATTAAATACATTCAGTGTGGAAGAATTGTTCTACTTTTTACCAGAATGTCTGAGAAATTATACAAAAAAAGTACATTGTGAATCTTCAAATATACTTCTGTGATTTCCTTTTGTAGAAGGGAAATATTACATAGGCCAACCCCTGTACTAACACTACAGGGTTATGTGAGGGTTGATTTCGAGCAAAAGCCCCCGGGCTATGTTTCTGCTATCATCAAAATATATTTATTTAAGGGTATATTGCGTTTACACATCGTTTTCTATTATGGTTGTTTCAATAAAATTTCATTCCGCAGAGCCACTCCGAGTAAGTGTAGAGCAAACAGTATTCGAAATGTATATCATTTCCGTTACGTTTGATAAAATTTGCTGAAGATACCCAAATTAATTTAGCCGGTATACAGAATGTATTTTTTTGTATTTTTATTTAGTTGTAGCATTAATAAAATTACCATTATTAGATAAGAGTTGACGGTTTGAATTTGAGGTGGACTAAACAATTACAATTATAATTTTATACTAATTGATATACAAATGTGTTCACATCAATAATTTATGAGCAGCCGCATTAATATACTATAACCTCATTAATTAATTTCGGAAATTCAATAACTACTCTAAAAGCATGTAAATGCTGTATTTTAAAGGCGAATCAACACGTTCGAATATACAACTGCAACTACAATTAAACTTTGAATGGAATAAATTAATTTTAATGTTGATTAAGAGTGCAAAACTGTAGAGTTCTCGGTAGCGAATTATGTATCGAATTGCAGTTACAGGTAGACATTTTTTATTCATGATTCTGCCGGTTTCTAACTTGCAAATTAATGCAAATTTTATGAGCCAACGTTAGTTAACCTCATCGATCGAAATAAACTATTGAATTTAAAGCTTCACAACATTATCTATTCCTTCTATTCTTGAGAATTTAGTATACAATTAACTAATGCATCAAAGAAATTTAACTGATCGTAGGGAAATAGAAAGTAATTAAACTGGACGATAAAATGAATGAAATGAATGATGAAATAAATGAAAAATTACACAAGAAATTTAACTGATCATAGGGAAAAAGAAGGCAATTAAACTGAACGATGAAATGAATGAAATGAATGATGAAATAAATGAAAAATTACACAAGAAATTTAACTGATCGTGGCGAAAAAGAAGGCAATTAAACTGGACGATGAAATGAATGAAATGAATGATGAAATAAATGAAAAATTACACAAGAAATTTAACTGATCGTGGCGAAAAAGAAGGCAATTAAACTGAACGATGAAATGAATGAAATGAATGATGAAATAAATGAAAAATTACACAAGAAATTTAACTGATCATAGGGAAAAAGAAGGCAATTAAACTGGACGATGAAATGAATGAAATGAATGATGAAATAAATGAAAAATTACACAAGAAATTTAACTGATCATTGGGAAAAGAAGGCAATTAAACTGAACGATGAAATGAATGAAATGAATGATGAAACGAATGAAAAATTACACTCAAATACATCTTCTACAAGTTCGTATTCGAGCCAAAAATGATGTTCAAAAAAAAACTCTCCGATGAAACATGGAATATCAAATTGCGAACATCCGCAGAAGTTAATCTAAATCTCATATACCTTAAAATACGAGCTTTAGGACCGTACATTCTAACTCCACTCGCTCATTGCCCCGAAAGCATCAAACAGAAATTGAATATCGCCAGTATTGCTCCTCAGCGGAAATGGTTTCGAGAATCTGGAGAGCACGAAAATGGGCCGGTTGTCGTTTATGTGAAACGAATGGTTCGGACATGCTCAAAACGAATGACTTTAGAGCCGATAAAGATTATATTCGTTTTGATAAAGTTGTTTATAATTTACTCCCCGATATCGATGCTTTGAAAAGTACCCAAAGTATTCAGTTTATTATCAATTATTTATTTGAAACTAGTGAGTTTTGTTGAACATTCATCGGTTTTAATAATTTTATTCTAATTTAATGCAAACTCACCTGAATCAAACTCGCGATTTCCCGCTGCACACAACACGATCGTACCCAAAATAAAAAATACCGAATACACATTGAAGATTCGAGAATGCTTGAACATTCTCAAATTGCACATCACCATTTTTTCAAATTATATCCATTGTATAATCATTCACACAAACACTAATAATCCTGTCATTTTAACACAACTTAAGCCGATGGGATGCCTCGCGTTGTCTCCCGTTTACCATGTTGTTGAAATCTGCAACAAAAACCACAAGAACGATTAATAATCTTGAAGAATTAGCAATCTTTTTTGTAGTAAATTCGATGTAATTCAATTTAAGTCGACCGTATTTCTCGGCGATCTTAAGGAAGCATCTCTAAATTTCTAAATCCGGGAACTGAAACGTCTATATGTTTTCTGCAAGAGATGCTACATTATCTTATAAATAATGTATGAAATAACTCGGGGAAATATTACCCGAAATAGATGTGGATGCCATATTTTACTGTCGATTCCATACCGATATTATACGTTGAATCAAAATCTTATTTGCCGTTTTAGTGTCTAGCTCAAAACGCTGGATTTGTATGTATACCGCGACAATTGGCACTTTGTATCGATTTGAATTAAATTTTGCAGTATATTATACATTCTATTTCCTTTATTTAGATACTATAAACTGTTAAATAGATGAAAATGCAAAATACATTCGTCTAAACGCCTCTTATTTTGGTCTCTATTGAGGATTCTTCAACATCGTATATGAAATCGTTAATTTCGTATGTTGTTTATCAGTTAAAAGATGTTTTTCCTTTGATCCTTTATCAAAACTTTATACGTGAAAGCTTCGTTAGTTTACGAATGTTAATGTTCTAAAATGTAACTGTGCTTTGACAGGAAAATATGCAAATATTGCGTAATACAGCTTTTGACTCCACGGTGGATTTTGAATAACAAACATAAATTGGTTAACGCTGTGTTTTTGTTTGTTTAAATCGCTATTCTACTTTGAAGCACACACGCTTCGAAATTTATGGAAAGAGCAATTGCTTATATGTTAGCTTAAAACGGCTTAAAACCAGCAAAAGCTACATTGGAAAATTCGCAAAAATGTCTCCGCCAGCGAAGCTGTTAAAAACTTTTTAAATTGCTGTAATTTCACCAACGTTTTGTCAAGCCAACAAGTCGCCGTATAGAAAGCAGATAATAATAGAATATTAGTTAAATATTCATGCGCCTGGGAAACTTTCATACGCCATTAAAATATTTTTAATTAACAACTTTCCAGTCCTCAATTTTATTCGCCAGCATAAAGGACGCGAGAAATAACATTCCAGGGTAGATTGTATCAAAATAATTCTGTCAACTTGTCCGTTTATCTGGCAACCAATATGTCAACGTCTTAGCACTTTTGCGGCGATAAAACTTTTAAACCCAAGAGTAACTTTTTTAGCATAAGGAGCGCCGGAAAAGTTTGCTAAGACAGAGAATAAGATATAGAGAAAAGTGAATTTACAGTTGATATCTCTCGGGAAGCCTTCGCTTTGAGGCCGACAATTTCGATGAATATAATTAGAGAAATTTGTGATTTGCTGTTAGGAATAATTTATTCGAATTAAGTGTTGCGAGTTGCCACAATTTCGATATATTTTCTACTAAATTAAACAATATGTTGTTTGTCGCTTTATGGGACTTAGATAGGGAGTATATAGGGTTATATATCATAATAAATAATATAAAAGCATGGAGTGTACTCAACTAAACCTATCGACTAACAATAGGTTGCGCTGTAATATATTACAAAATATTTTACTATTAGCTAGTCATAAGGAAATATTTTCGTCTTGTCTGGGTAATTTATGAGGACCGTTGTTGTAGGAAATTTCAACAAAACACGAATGTAGGGAATTTATGATACTCGCAATTGAAATGCCACATCCTTCACTTCATGCGTTTTATGTGAATTATTTGCTTAAATAAAATTATCATAATTAAATATTAACATATTTCAGGCAACAAATTATTTAAAATTAAATTTTACAGACAATGAATTTTAGATTTTAATTAAAACTCTAAAGAGTTGAGTGATAATTATTGCGCTACAAAATTAAACTACTTCATTGTTTACTCGCTGAAAATCAACGTTTCGCATTTCCAGTTTGGAATTTAAAAGATTGTTGAAAGATCTGAAGTATAATAACGAAATGGAACTCGTTTTAATAGCAAGCCGTTTTATTCTAAAACAACAAAAGAGAAGCATCCAACCCAACAGGAAGGTATTTAATTAATTTTAGCTTTAAAAACACTACTTAGGTACTTATGTTTCAATAAATATTTTAGCTTGTATATCCATTAAGCGGGTAAATTATCGTTATAATACATAAGGTAATTTATACAAGTTAATTCGAATTAATTGCAGTAGAATTACTGCAGTAAGCGTGAATTTAATATTACTTTAAAGCGTGAAGCTTTCTTAAGTATAGAATGTATTCATCCCGGAATAATTGCAACGAACAGTCAAATTGGGAACTCAAAGAGGCGAAACTGTTCTTAGTTAATGTATTCAAAGATAAAGTAGAATTTAATGCTAAGCCGAATAAATATGTAAATAGATGTTTAAGGGTGCATGAATGTTGGTGGTTTATTTTTGTATTAGATACTATAAATAATTCAATAGCAATTCATCAAAAAAATATTTAATAATTTAATTATCTTTTGGCACTCTTATAATGGTTATTAAAAAAACTTTTATAACTAGGTTAGAGAATGTCAGTTTTTTTATTGAAGATTGAAGAGGGTAGATCAATTATAGTCTGTTTAATTGGTATAATTTAATTTTAGAATTCCATAATATGAAAGTTTTGGTATCTTAGTTTCTGGTTTTAATTAAAAAATATTCAAATAAATATCCATTAAAAAGTGCTAAATTAACATGCATTATTAAGTTTACCTTCTTTATTGCCCCAACTCCAGATTACACCACCTTTCACTTGAAAAAAAGAAGGAAAAAAAAGTCGAATTCAATAAATTCCAGAATCGAATAAAACGCGAAAACGTCGAGCGATTGAAACCGCGCTATTTTCCTGCAGTTTTCCTGCCAAAGCACACACCAATCAAGTTTCTAATAGTGGAAATTCGTACCGGTGAACTTCGCGCGCGCTGAAAACGACACTGAATTTTCAGCGTCGCGGCGCTCGGTTTGAAACGGCGTCGCGACGCATGTGCGAAAGCTGCTCTTCGCTATTTCTATTTCGTTTCGCAGGAATTATGAAATTTGCAAGACGGCGAGTCCGAGGGCAGTTAACAGGCGTTTCCATTTTTTGTTTTTTGTTTCGATGCAATTTTTATTTTTTCGTTTATACCTATGCTTTGTTCGCGAAAGGGCTACCTTTTGAAACAATATGTGTGTAGAATAAAATAGTAATGGGTTGAAATTAATGCGTTGTATAATCCTGGGAAATTAATATACAGTGTGTCCACGGATGGGGTTGCCTATATGAGAGAAATTATTCATTTTACGACAAAAAGTCATTGTTTATAAAAATTTTTGCTTCTTTTAAAAATGAGAATAACACTGAAAAATCTTAGATTGGATCTACAGGGTGTTGCCAAATTAAGAAAACATGAAAATACCTCAAGAGAGAAGTACCATTATTTTTTATTTTACACAAAATTTTTATAAAAGAAAGTTGTTTATAATCTAAAATAAAGCCTGAATACAAATTTTCAAATTAAAATTCCAATTTTGTGTGTCCCCTAGATAAAGTTGACCAGATAAGAAAAATGATTATTATTAATTTTACGACGAAAAGCTATTCTTTATAAAAAAATTAACTTGTCGAGAAAATGAGATTCATATATGAAAACATTAGATAAGATGTATACGGTGTTAGTAAATTAAGAAACAGGAAAAAATTTCAAGAAAGAAACAATTTATTTATTATCTTACATTATTATTTACAAAAAAAATGCTTTTAAGTAAAGCCTATACACAAATTTTCAAATAAAAAATACAATTTTAGGCTCTATTTTAGATTATAAACAACTTTCTTTTATAAAAATTTTGTGTAAAATAAAAAATAATGGTACTTCAGTATGAGTAATGGTTTGGTTTATCCAGAAAGCTTGGTTTATTATGCATTATTTTCACTATACAATTACAACGATTCGAGTATCTGAAATTGGTAAACGAGAGCTTGTTCAAAAAATGTACTTCGAGTGATCGGTTCTGCTGATAATCTGATCTATTTTGATTCAAAACCTAGCACATTTTTTCTACAAAACTCCCATCATCAATCTCGCTAATTAAAATTTATTCAATCGTACACAAACAGCGAAGAACTTTCGCTTCGTTTATTGTTTATTTCCCCAATCGTAAATCCGATATACATCATTATATCCCGCCTTACGAGAGTAGCTTTGTAACATGAAGAATCGAAATTAACGCACGTTTTGTCGTTCCTAAAACGCTCTCATTGTATCAAAACCCGCGGTTCGAGATTCGCAGATAACTCTCCGAAGTGTCGATTAGACAACCGCGAAGCCATTAAATCCGCCTGCCAAGAGTTTGAAATTACGCCGTTCGGTTGTCGCTCATTATTCATCAATCCCGATGAGTTTTTGTCGCCGATTCGGCGGAGTCATTAATTATAATCGGTATAAACATTAACCTAAGTAATTGGGAGTCGTCGGCGGCGTTCTAAATCAAGCGTGCGGGGCGGTTGAAGTTTCTCCGGGGGTTGATAACACTTTTCGCGCCATTACGCCGCATTATCGCTAAGCTATAAACGCTGTATCTAAGCACTTTTTCGGCTGATATGTACGTCAAACGGGCGGCGCCCTAGTCGGGGCGAATGAGCCACATAAACTGAGGAATTTGATGGAGTATCGTAGCCGGAGGGATGTTTGTTTATGTCGCATTTAATCCCCTTTTTGAGATTTTATTAGATAACTACCAATAGTAATAGTCATTTAGCCAATATATCAAAGGCCGGCATTAGACATATGTCAATACTGTCAATAGGTGACAGTTGTAAGTTGGAAACCGTTGAGTTTTGAACAACAAGATGTCGGTGCATAGAAAAATATGAAGTTTTGTTTGGAAAATAAAATGCAATCAGGTGAGTAACAGATTTTTGATTAAGCTCTCTACAATAGATAGATGTCGCATTTAATCCCCTTTAGAAATTTTATTAGATAACTCAATAGTAATAGTGTTGTCATTTAGCCAATTTATCAAAGGCCGGCACTAGACATGTGTCACTGTCAATACTGTCAATAGACAGGTGACAGTTGTAAATTGTAAGCCGTTGCGTTTTGAAGATGTCGGTGTATAGTAAGTTATGGAGTTTTGTTTGAAAAATATAGTGCAATCAGGTGAGTAACAGATTTTTTATTATTCCATCTACAATAGATAGAAATTTGATGTCGCCGTTTTAATTTTCAAACTTTTTATAACTGGATTTTCTTATTCTTCTTCTTCTCTGTTACATGGCCTCTTGCGTTATGTCGCATCCGGCCAGCTTACTAACTGGATTATCTTTCACGTTTTATGTGTATCATTGGTATTGATTAAAATTATGACGAGTGTAAGCCTCTGGATTCGTTTCCAATAATCGAGTAGATTTGATTAATATTGTATAGTGTACATAAATATTCAATTTATAGAAATTGAAAATATTCGTTAATTGTTTACATGTTACCAACTTCATTAGCTAATTTCATATTTTTACTATTGCATTAAATATCGCGAAATAGCTCAAATTGCCAGGAATATATCAAAAAAACTGAATGACACGGCTCTAATCGGCTCGCCATAAATCATTTTAAATCGCCGAGATATTGGAATTCCTGCACGTAACGTGATGAATGGTATTGTAATGTGAAAAATTGGAGATTTTAATGAGTTTTTTAAGATTCCCGCGCCGTTTTTTACTTCATCGCGAGCATAAATCTGATCCGATTAGCTGCAGTTAATCTTTATTAAAAAGAAGAAGACCGCCGAGATTAACTACAGCCGGTCGTTGGCTACATCGAAAATTAACTATTCAGGACAGTAATGATATTTGAAACGAATAGAAATAGTTAGAAAAACTTAGTTAACAATTCCTGCAGCTAATTCGACGGGAGATTCGAATTATCTTGTTGATGTGCGTTGAATCTCGGGCCTCCAGATAGATAATTGCGAACTTATGACAAGTATAACATATTCTGCATATCTGGAGTTATGTTGGAAATTAATATTCAAATGAAGCGTTTAATTATACATCACCTTAATATGATTAGGACGTAATTCCCGGTAGCCCGTCGTTGTGATATTCCCTTGAGTAAGGACGGACAAGGGTTATATATCTAAACGGAATAATCGGTTAATAATCGATTATTTCGGGTACATTTCGATCCTAATGAGCTGACCGAAATGAGCAATCAGTTTAATGGTGAATATTTTGACTATGCATCTTGTTTAGTCGAAGTCATACCTGATGGAAATACGAAATTTTCCTATCGATTTCGACAGCGCAAGAAAAGAGAAGTATTTGATGAGGGTTCCAGGTTATTTTTTCCGCGATACGCTATCCGAAGATTAATGTTGGCTATTTTATTATGTGATCCGAAAGAATTTTATTATCATTTTTGAAAAGAAATCCTATACGAACCTCGATCAATCATAGATTCGTTTTTATCCAGGCCGGTTGTCCAGATAAAAAATACATTTTCTGACGGCTCTAATTGATATTTTCGTTTAAAAGAAAACACGCGGAGCTCTATTGATAATTTTTACTATTTTTATTAATCTACTAACTCCGCTTAAACCAATTTAAGAGCTTAGTAATTGAGCTTAGTATTCCACGTTGCTATTTTTAGTAAAGCGTAAAGTTGAAGCGAATTTTATTTATCAGTAAAATCGCTAACTTTTCGAAACTTCCAATCATGTTTCAATTTTATCGGTAAAGTTTAAAAATCAGAAATTTGCGCAATTTTCGAGATATTTCGAGTTTTTTGTGGACTATCAAAATAAACCATTTTAAATACACTCCGATGAAAAGTTACAATTATCTCGAAAGCTAATAGAGATAAAAGCATCCAGTTGATTTGATGTGACAGAAAAGATGTTCCTCTACAATTTTTAAAAAATCATAAATTTTCGAAAATGCCTCAATTTTCGAGATAATTCGAGATTTTTGTGGACTCTATCGAAATAACCAATTTTAATACACTCCGATGAAAAGTTACAATTATCTCAAGAGCTAATAGAGATAAAAGCATCCAGTTTACTTTATTTTATAGAAAAAACGTTTCTCTACAATTTTTAAAGAATCAGAAATTTTCGAAAACCGCCCGATTTCCGATATATTACGAGTTTTTGTGGACTCTATCGAAATAACGAATTTTAATACACTCCGATGAAAAGTTACAATTATCTCGAAAGCTAATAGAGATAAAAACATCCAGTTTACTTTATTTTATAGAAAAAACGTTTTTCTACAATTTTTAAAGAATCAGAAATTTTCGAAAACCGCCCGATTTCCGATATATTACGAGTTTTTGTGGACTCTATCGAAATAACGAATTTTAATACACTCCGATGAAAAGTTACAATTATCTCGAAAGCTAAAAGAGATAAATGCATCCAGTTTACTTCATTTTATAGAAAACACGTTTCTCTACAATTTTTAAAGAATCAGAAATTTTCGAAAACCGCCCGATTTCCGAAATATTACGAGTTTTTGTTGACTCTATCCAAAATAACGAATTTTAATACACTCCGATGAAAAGTTACAATTATCTCGAAAGCTAATAGAGATAAAAGCATCCAGTTTACTTCATTTTATAGAAAAAACGTTCCTCTACAATTTTTAAAGAATCAGAAATTTTCGAAAACCGCCCGATTTCCGAAATATTACGAGTTTTTGTGGACTCTATCGAAATAACGAATTTTAATACACTCCGATGAAAAGTTACAATTATCTCGAAAGCTAAAAGAGATAAACGCATCCAGTTTACTTCATTTTATAGAAAAAACGTTTCTCTACAATTTTTAAAGAATCAGAAATTTTCGAAAACCGCCCGATTTCCGATATATTACGAGTTTTTGTGGACTCTATCGAAATAACGAATTTTAATACACTCCGATGAAAAGTTACAATTATCTCGAAAGCTAA